GGGGGGGGGGGGGCTCGTTTCATGCAGACGAGAAACTCGTCATACTATTTCGTAAACTATACGACTTTCCATCTCAACTTTTCCCTCTAACTTTCCCGTCCGAACGGGTTTATTTAATTTAACGAGTTTTTTAAGGCCCCGTTTACACTATACCGGATTGCTATCGGAGTGGGTCAAATTTTGCAGGTATCGAAAGGCTAAGAAGATTTTTAATCTCAGAGACCCAAATAAACATGCCAATTCTGTCAAACTAATAAGCATTTGCTACTAACCATTGCTCAGTAACGGCAAAAGAAGATGTCGTGACCAGCGAATCCGGTATAGTGTAAACAGGGCCTAAATTTATAAAGGTAATGAATCTGTTATCATAAATCTACATTTAATTTTTTCGATTCATTTAATGAATGAACATCACCAAAAAGTTCTCTATGACTATGAACTGTTTGAGCTATGGTTTGAGATTCTTTATCGCCAGAGAAGAGCGAGTTTTTGAAACGGCTTCTGCAGAAAATAAAGTTAATCATGCAAAATTGCGGTTTAATTGCTTAAATCCGTTTCATTAATTAAGATAATGTTTCATATGGGATAAATTGATACCACCATTTTGAAATAATTAAACTGCCAATACAATACCTTGGAAATCTATATACTGTTCCATAAAGCGTGTTCAACTTTTCCAACTTATATTTTCGGGTGGTCTTTAAAATTCCATTAAATTTTTTTTTCAAAATCCTTAGTACGGAAATAGAATGACTCTTCGTTGGAAATAGTATGGAAATCCAATTTTTATACTATTGCAATTTCCATACTATTGATATACTGTATTACTGAAATAGCATGGATATATGTACTATGGATTTAGTGATACAATGGACCTATTCCCTAATGAACGAAATTTTGATCTATGTAGACAAGTGTAGACAAACATTTTACCACAGCTTGAAAGAGCATCACAAAATTAGTAATATTCCGAAGTTTCGTTGCGAAATGTTGTAAAATGCGGATAATATAGCCTTGCGAAATTTGCCGTTTTTCAGTCATTTTGTATTACGCACGGGAAATTGATACCGCTTTCTGAAAAAAAGTATCAATTTCCCGTGCGTAATACAAAATGACTGAAAAACGGCAAATTTCGTAGGGCTATATTAAGGCCTGATTCCACGAGCGCTTTTTCTCGGCGAAATGCGAAATATTTCGCCTGTTTCTTTTGAATTGCGACTACTCGAATAAATTATTTCTACTTGATTGATCACAATTCAAAAGAAACAGGCGAAATATTTCGCATTTCGCCAAGAAAAAGCGCCCGTGGAATCAGGCCTTTATCCGCATTTAAAACATTTCGCAACGAAACTTCGGAATATTTCTAACTGTGTGCTGCTCTTTCATGCTGTGATAAAATTTTTGTCTATAGACTTGCCTAGATCAAGATTTTGTTCATCAGGGAATAGGTCCATTGCAAATCTCACTTGTTAATAATGATCCTGTTAATAATGATCAGGACATATCCTGCAATTAGTCTCATTAGATTACTCCATGCAAACTTTCTTATAATTCCATGCAATGCATTCTTCAAATAGATGGGATGTTCAAAACAACACGTGGGCTATGCCAGAAGCACTACGTCCGCTTGTGCTTAATTTTGACTTCCAGCGAAAGGGGAAGACTGCTTATATCACAACTGGATTTCCAGGATTTGTTGGGGCGTTCACTGGATTTACACCAGTAAGTGTTTGGTATGGGTCATGCTATATAGCGAAGTAGAATTTTACAAATAATTAGCAGCACCTGTCGGAGACATAGCAGCTGGGGCATATTGGGACTTTTTGCAATTGGGGGAGTGGCGTAACCTCTTAATATACCAAATCTGTAGCTTTCAGATTATAATAAAAAGTGTCTAAAATGCATGAAATACCATAAAAATGGAACCTTTTTCCGGGATACACACTTGTCCGGGGCTGGCTGCGCCCCTGATGGCTGTGTTTGAGTAACATGAAAAAAGTTAAAAATCCGAGCGAAGACCCTGCATCAGGGGGTTGGGTGGTTGAGGTGTGGGCAGGCAGAAATTAAGGAGCTAAAACGCAGGGAAGGAGAAAATGCGGGCGAAGGGGAAAACAGACAAAAACTGTCAGTGGGAATTGTTTACATGTTATTAGCATATATTCGTCTTTTTTGACATTTGAAATCCATACTTCAATTTTTCCATACTTTCTGTAAAACGTAATAAAATTTTCTCACGTATAGGGAGAGATTACTATAACTATGAACTCACGTTTCTCAACAGCCGGAGGAAAGATTGGTAAGGAATGAAGTAAACAATTTCAATTATTTTTTCTCTACCCTGCGAGCAGAGCCCATGATTTCCCCCGAGAAAGGAATCATGCTGGCTCTGCTTGCAGGAGAAATATTCTCTGAAATGCACTAGGCCTATATGATATATAGAAACCGTGCATACGAACAAATTGAACACATTGGCATTACTAAGGTTACATGTGACGACAGTCGATAGACGTGCGTCCTGGTAGATTAGACATTGCGCAATTAATCTGCTTATAGATGTAGTTTCACCACATTTTCAGTGAAGAAAACCAGAAAAATGCTGATTACGAAAAGATACGTTTGGTGGGCGTTTAATTACAACTTTTCTTGTTCTGCCTGCTACAGAAATACGGACTTCCATGCAGCGAAATTCACACACAAAATTGCGGTTCTGAAACTAAACAGATTATCTCCAAATCAGTTGACACAATGTTGGTTGTCACAACTTATTCCATTTGGTTGGTAGCTGTACTTCTTTCATTATTCATTCTTCTAAAGCGATTTTAATTGGAGTCATCATCGTAGTCTAAACAGCCGTAAAAACAATACGAACCATTAAAAAATTAATGAGAAAGCGACCGCACACGTTTTTGTTACTTTCAAACTTTGTGGAAAACTGCATGTACACTTACTTTTTGCTTTTATGGAATATCCGTATTTCTGTTTAGTTGGGCAGAACAAATAACACTTTAGGTAAACACCCACAAAACGTACTTTTCCTTAACCAGCAGTTTTCTGGCTTTCTTCACTGAAAATGTGATAAAACCACATTTATGCATTCATGATTCGTCGTGCAATGTCCAATCTACCGGAACGCGCGTCTGTATCTTCCTGATACATCTTACATGATGCACTTATTATTGAAATCATTGCATCCTCAAGGTTTGTTGGAATGGATAATGGGAGAACGGGATTCGCACTGGACTACCTTTCTCGTTCGAAATGTACTTGATAGCGGCGTTGGGTATGTTGATACCTTTATTAGATTAACTTTATTAAATGCTAAATACACCACTACCAAGTTTTTTTCCCGATCATTCCTTGGTATCACTAATTGTAGCATTCACTTTTCCAGTTTCGAGAATGCCAAAGAAGTGCTTTCAAATACCAAAACTTTGGCTCCTTGTTATTACATTCTTGGTGGAAATAGTTCAGGGCAGGTGCGCGTAGCCATGTTAATAAATATGCTTTTACATTAGGAAACATCATACACTTTTTTATTATGATTATTATCATCATGCGCAAATCAGCATCGCCAAAACACAATATCCTCTTTCTCTAATTATTTCAATTTTATACAATTAAGATATACATGTATATTATGTATAGTTAGTTGTACATATCTTCATATCTAGTCCGCGTCCTTTATAGTTTATGACTTGATACATTTCATATTACCTCAAATGTATACATCTTGTTTCATGTGATGTTGATTTTATAGTGCAACTTTCGAGATAAGGTTCAAGTACCTTGTTGTAGCACACCACCAACGACCTTTCTTCATTTAAAAGATTTCCTCTGACTGGGTGAAAGATGACGTTTTCCTATATATTACCCATTCTGTACAATCTACGCAGCACTCTGAACCATACGATTAATTCAATCTTTTCATGCACTTTTAGGGAATGGTTATCTCACGCTCCCGAACAAAATCATTGTATCCTTTGAGGTTTATTACTTACTATATATATTTTAAACAAAGATAAAATTATTGAACTTGTTTCATTCTGTTATATAAATATTCTTTCTATAGAATCATAAAAAGCTTGGAACATTTTCTGACATTCTCTAACTATTTAAAATTTTAACGAGGTCTTCCTTCTCTTCCCCACCCTTATATTCAATGTTAAAACGTTCCAGCTAATTTGCAGTAGTTGGGCATGTTCGCACGAAAACATAAGGAATACTGTGGTGTCCCGAGGACCCTTGCATGGCGGCCATTTGTTGCTTGCTTTTAACATTTCTTGATACCACTTGGGGGGGGGGGGGATTTCAAAAAGCATGAAAATTTAGAGTCGTTAAATAGTCGGAAATGGTGTTCTCAGAGTCCTCTCTCCCTCTTTCGTGAGGCTTTTTCATCAATTCTTTCATTTTGATTTGCGAATTATTATTATTATTATTATTATTAATTTTTAATTTTTAAACATATTCATTATTTCCTGGGGACCGAAAGCTATTCCGGCGGCTCCTCCGACTTCAGGGTACCTTCCCGAATGCCGGTTGGTAATCGAGCCTACCCCCCCCCCCCCTTCCCGCCCTGTTGCTACGTTCCTGAGCTTGCCGCCGGTAGTATTTTAAACTACATAAGACGTTTAAAACTACATCAGCTATAGTGTGCTTGAATTGAAAGGTTTGAAGAATCATCAAAGTCGCCGAAAGTAGAAGTATCATTGGCCAATTTCCATATGGCTTATCAGTATGATGCTCTAAACTTGGTCAATTTAATTTCTCTTTCCAGCATGCCCCAAGGTAAAAGTGGGTGGTATCTACTACAAACAAATTATGATCATTGGAAAAATCCCTTAATTATCGATGACCGGCGAACACCCGTGAGTATACACATGTTTATCTCGACCCAATTCGTTCTTCATGTTTCTTATTTATTATTAATTTTCTGAACTTTCTTAGGGAAATAAATGCATGGAAGAAATGACTCAAAAGGTACAGTCACTGTTTAGTTAGAGTTGGAACTAGGGTCGTCCAGTTCAGAGGGATGCATGGGGGTTGGTGGTAACTCAAATCTTTGTTCTGGTTTGTGAAAAACACCACGTTTATACCGAATTTTAGATCTTTAGAAGAAAGAAGTATCATGCATGAAAATTAACATGCATTCCTTTCTTATTCGTCCAATTGTAAAAATTATTCCTTTTGATTAATCGTAGAACGTTGGCTTTGAAGGAATTTTCAATGTGTTGTCAACGATCCCTGTCTTGAACAAGGTAAACTTGCCATTAGTATTTGTTGTAACCTTGCAAGAAAAAGCAAGGGATAAAGGGCAATCTTTGTGAAAAAATTTTAAAAAGCCTTCCTACAAATAATTGACAAATTGTCATGTTGTTTTATCTAATTTGTCTAACTTTATTTGCTACTAGTACACAAGTATGCGTACAGCAAAATGTTAACGAACATTGCCGCCCACAAAAGTAATGCCCATATGGAAGTGTCCCTTTTAAATGGCTGCCAGCGCCGCTTCACGTTAGCTCCGGCTCGCGGTATCAGTGATAACCACTATAAGATCACCAACAGGGGCGGTGCTAGGCCTCTTTCGTTGGGGGGGGGGGATGCAAGATATAGTTTTGCCGAGTCATTAGCTTGGACTGTACAGGGTATATTAGCCTATATGTACACGCGCACATTTACTCATATGATTTACTAAACTTAATTGGTTCAGTAACATTGCATATAAGTAGTGGATTACGCAAAAGTCTCTACTTTCACAATGATCATATATAGATCTGTCGTCTATATATACTCGAATGTTTTTAACTACGCAGAGTTATCATTTTGAAATCTAGAGTCTATATGAAATGGCATTTCCTCTGTTCTGAGAAAGATTTCAAATAACTCTTCAACGAATGAAACTTATCCTCTATTCACTCACAACAACTGTTCCCAGTCATGACCGCTGTCAGAAACCATGCAACTCGTCTGCAATTATATACGGGCTGTTTTGGATTTTTGAATTACCCACTACAACTCGATAGAGCACATTTTCAAGAGATCTATTCATCTAACTTCTTGAAATATTACGTTTTATATTTAAATACACGTTTGGTTTTAATTCAGATAATTCAATTCGATAATTCAATTTTTGCTGAATGAACAATTTGCAGAATCGTTCATGAGTGGGGTGGTGCCCCCCCCCCCCACCACAACCTCCTCTGGCGCCGCTGCAAATTTTTTTTCCGTAGACAGTCGGACTCCTCATTGATAGTCGGACACATCATTGACCCGCGCCCTTAAACAAAACATTCAGCGGATACTATTCTTATTAGATGCGCTTCCCAGTGTGTCTTGCGCACGCAATTGGTGATTTCTGTTTTTTGTAAAAGTATTTTCGGAGCGATTGCAGAATACCCGTCCACTTTTAAGCCATGCCTTTCAAACATCATGGATAGGATGTACTAATACATCTATATTTCAATTCTCAACTGATGTTATCTTTTCACTTTATAGTTAACAAGTTATACTGCTATGATGCACGTGAACACAGGTGAAGTGATCAGTTATCGACGATATTGTCGCGATCCTTGTTTCCCGTGGTGAAAAATATCAAACGCAAAAAATTGAGATGTTAAAGACAGTCAAGTGAATGAAAACGAAGGAGCAATAACATTTGTAGAGTTAGAATCTATCTTAATTAATTAGGAGATTATGAAGTAATAAAATCAAATGATTTTATTACGTGGACAATTTATGGACTTTATATTAATATGGGATTAATAATTGTTATAAATCGGTATAAAGACACATAAACGTTCGTAAGTTACTCATTATTGTTAATTAGAAGTTGCAAGTGGTACACTTTGTAATTAGCCAGTGATGTCAATTTTAAGACTAAGTACATTTTCAATATAACAGATAATATGCTGCAAATTAGGCATTAATCATTTTCCAAACTGCTCCGTTTATACTGATTTTTGAAACTGAAATATTCTTATAAGGAATGGAAGAAATTGGAGAGGGGGAGAACAAATTGCTGAGCTAAAAAGTCCATGCGTATCAGTCGCTATTCAAGTTATTAACTATTAAGAGCCCAGCGAGAGAAAGGGCTTAACTCAAAGTCAGTCAATTTCCACCGCATTAAAATGTTAAAGCGTTTATTATACTACGCTTGTCAGGAACTAGACTTGCTCCAAGTTTCTCTTTCATTGTCATATCGATCCACTATAGTGTATATTACATGACGTAGCACGGAGAGGCGGAGCGAGAAAGAGAGACTTGTCAACTTCAGAAAACAATTAATGACACGGACAGAAAACAATTAATTAAAGCAAGTCTTGCATTTTCGGTTCAGTTTTGAACCGAGATTTTCCGATGTTGACAAGTCTCTCTTTCTCGCTCCGCCTCTCCGTGCTACGTCATGTAATGTACACTATAGTGGATCGATACTATATGACAATGAATTGAAAGAGAGACTTGGAGCAAGTCTAGTCAGGAACCGGCTCCGATTGCTCGAACTTCTTTGTAATTAGCGTAATTAGCAATTAATTAGAAATTAACGACGAATCCTGAAACGGGGTGGAGGGGGCATGACGGGTGGATGTCTATTCAAAAAGTAGCAGCTTCTCTTTCTTCCTTTATACATCGTGAAAATCGACACAGTCCAGCGCAGACTGTGAAAATAGGTATAAGTTTTAACATTTCTTACATGAAGCACACATTTATGAAAAATCGTGTGATCGCCGGCTCAGTTACAAGTTTTGGCGGGAATTTTCATATGCGGAGCGAGCAAAGCGAGATGCAAATGAGTTTAAATGGAGGAAAAGTGATCTTTTTTGCCGAATATTGAAGCAGTTGGAGATGTTTTCAACTTTTTTCTTCTTTTATAGTAAGTACGAATATTAATTAATTAAACCTCTGCACGAAACTCGTGTCTTTGATCAGAATTGGAGCCGATTAAACGCCTGAAACGCAGTTTAAAATATCAGCACCATGGTGATTGGAGCAACAAAATATCTCGTGTGCACTTTATACCAATACTTTGTCGTCTGGATATTTGGAGGTCCGAGGTCCCCCATACATCTCAGAAGTGACGCCCCTGTTTAGGCTGTCTACTGCATTTATTTCTTTTAGGGATTTTTCCTTTTAATATGTTTTATGCTTCGGGCAGCGCTTGTGTTGCTAGTGGATTTTATAGTGAAACAACAGCGTATTGTGGCACTATTGACTATTATCAGGCCTATTTAAACATATACTGAAAGGACCAAGGCCTCCCCCCCCCCCCTCCCTGTGTCCTTATTCTGTGATGAGACCGCCCTCACCCAAGGAACAATATTGGCCCCTCCAGTAAAGGTCCCTTTTTTGTAAAGTATAAAGAAAAGACTGTTGATGAGTGTTTTTATTTATATTCCCTTTATAATAATTATTATACTGAAAGCTCAGTCTGTATAGGTTGGATATATAAAAAGTAGGGTTTGAAAATGCAGAAAATTAACCCCAGGAGGCTTAAAAATATGAAAATGTTCTTGGAATGGATCCTCCTCCACATAAAGTCGTATCTTTCCAATTCCCCAGCTCTTATCTGGCTTATCTGGACTGTGGAAGTGGGAGATTGGCTGAACCTCTCCCCCTCCAAATAATTTTTACGACAGACTTGTGTGTCAATAAACATACATTTTTATGGTGGATTCAGGGGCGGCTGCCCCTGTTGCCTAAACAGTGTGGGGGCAGCAGGTTGCCTTTTTTATAGGGGTGCACCGGATTTCAAATCCGGCCGGAATTCTGGCCAGATTTAACGAATTTTCCGGCATCTGGCCGGATTTGGAGAAAATCCGGCTGGATTTAAATTTCTGTTTTCACCTTAAAAAATTCACCAAGAATGGGATAAACCATCAATTTGGCAGCTTTAAAGTTTAAAAAACACTTATATTATTATAAAATATTAACTAAGTTAAGTTATTAACAAAAAGATATTTAAAAAAGGTTTATAAACACAATCAAAAATCTAAACTGACACTAACTAAAAATAGTAAAAAACATAAATCGCCATTTTGAATACTGATTTATTCCGAAATTTGTCTAACTGTATTAGCTACAAGTAATGAAGTATCCGTCATACAACAAAATGTTAACGAACATTGCCCTCCCCCCCAAAAAAAAAATTAAGGCTCAAGAGTAAGTGCCCTATTTAAATTGCTGCTCCCGCCGCTTCATGTTGCTTCCGGTGCCCCTGGGTGGATTTGGGTGCAAAGGGGTGTGAAAAATTAAACAAAATCTTACTTTTAAATTTAAATGTTTGATTACTTTACTATATATACTTGTTCATATGTAATATCATCATCATTCATTTCCTCATGATGACTATAGTTTAGTCGAAACGGCGAAATAAATTTTCAAAATGCTTTCAATTTTCGGAGTATCTATTGTTTTGTATTTTAACAAAATACTCAGTGGTTCCCGTAATTCAAAGTTTGTTATCAGTCTTAGACTAACTCAAGGAATTCAAGGCAACACCACAACTTACACTAGTTCAAAATACTAATAAGTCCAATGTTAATAATTTTTTAGTTTGACACTTTGATTAATTGGTCAGTCCAGAAAACATCCATACCTCCCCCACAGAGGAAATTGGAAGTTAACCCCCCTACCCCTTCGGACATACTAAAATACACTTACTATTATCCGAAACAAATTTTTGTTTCCTCCCCCACCGGATTTGCAGAAATTTCCTCCATGGGAGAAGTGTGGATCTGTTCTGGAATGACCCAAATAAAGCAAATTCTCAATTTTACTGCAAACATCCAACATTATAAGTATTTGATAATGAAAATAAAAGCAATCAAATATTCAAGTGTTAAAAATTTCCATTTTGTCTTCCACACTTGTTCACTGATATCATGAGAATCGGAGATTGATATTTTATATAATTATTAAATTATATTTATTCAACATATGTGTTTATTGTAACCACGAAACTACTAGATGCACTTTCATAACAGTATGTTGCTGGCCAGTACTATGTTCGGTGTGCTTGGCTGCTCGCCCAGCACCCCCCTAAAAATCCTTCCTGGATCCACCACTGGTAAAGTGAATACTAAGGTTGCATTCTAGTTAAATTGAAGGTTATCTGAAGATACCTATTGCATGTTAAACAATCCGGACCAGCAAAACACATATCGACATCAACATGCTAAATATTGTATCATCATCGATTATCATTATGTCTAGTTGCTTCTGTTTTTTGTTGCTTTTCAATTTTTATTTGTCAAGTTTCTCTAATCTGGCCTTTGGGGGCCAAATACTGAGTGTTGTGTGCTTCCAAATTCTGAATGCATTTTTAATTTTGTAAAAGCAGCGAAGTGTCGTAATATTGCATTTCATTCCACATAGAGATGCAGGTAGGCTGAGGCATGCATGCTATTAAGTAGAAAAGTAAAAGTAGCTATAGGATAGGCAAGCATACATATGTGCATGGCATATTCATTTTTCTGATCAGATTGAGGAATTTCTGTAATTTTTTCTTCAGTCATATATGAGCATGGGTGATACTATATAATCAGCTACACCGAATCTCTACTATTTCATTTACATTAGACATGTGTACTGTTTTCAAAAATATATCTGCAGCTTTCATCATGCAACTCAATTTGTCATCATAAACAAAATAATTGTGGAAAATAGCTGGAAATGCTCTTTTCAGGTTTGTAGTTATTAAAATTTCAAGGGGCCCCTCACTAGGAGGGTTTGTCAGTTTTCCCACACATTTACTCCATATTATGCAATCGTTTTGTGCATTGGTACTGGAGCAATTTTTAAATTTCGAGTAGTATGGCACCATTTGGAGGATATTAAACATACATTAATCTTCCCTATCGACAAAGTGCTAGTTAATGCTACAGTTCCAAGATAGATGGGGGGGGGGGGGGATGTAGACCCTCTGCCCCATTTCTGGTGGCACTGGTGAATTCATAGTTTAAATTTCAAATGTATTCAACTTTGAAGTTTATTCAAGACTTACAGCATATGCAATAATAATGAAACTGTTTTGCTCTACTAGGCTTCGTGTCAATTTTTACTTTAGCCACCCGAAGTCAATTTGGAACACCTGGTAAGTTTTTAAAATTGTTACAAAAAATTTATTGAAATTACTAATTACGATATTCAAACAATACAAAAGTGCAAAATTTATAATGAAGTATGAAGGCAGTTATTGGCTAATTAATACTGTAGACTGACTTGGAGCTTAAACACTCTAATTGTTTTCGGATTGGATATTGATAAACAACCATCCCTTCTTGCAGCATTCTCAGCTAGCAAATGCATGTACAAGTGTCTATACCAAAGCACAATACAGTGCCTTTCCAAAAAATATGGACTAACACACGTGAATAATGTTCCCAATTTATGCTAATGTTTGAACTGTGCGAAAACTACAATTACAGCTGCCCAGCGACAGCGTCAAAGCAGCACGACCAACTTCAAGTCTGTTTATTTTTCAAAAATACTCTGCTTAATCAAACCAAAGCGACTAGAACGCAAAACATACGAGTTTTAAATAATTTAAGATAATTATGTCCTGTAAACATGGTTCGGCATATTCGAATTTTCACGAAGGATGATTTTAATTTCGTTGATTGATTATCATAAAAGAAGTTGGTTTTGCTCCCTCAATTACAAATTGAATACTAATAGAAAAGAATTTAACTTGGATAATAAAATATCAAAAATTATTACATTAAATAAGCTACTAATGAATTCTATTAACTAAAGTTTGTAATGTTCATTATTAATATTTGCCTTCGTCCAAGAATCTTCGACTTCTCCTTTCTTTGCGAACTACTTGAATTTCACCTGTTTCGGGGCCACCAGATAGTGTTCGAGTGTAGGTCGTCGTTGAATCGCCAGGCATAAACCCTTCGGAAATGCTGTGGCTAAAGGTACCAGCCGATACGGGTCCTTCGATGGTTCTCGTTTCTCTCTTGATCACTCGGGTTCGTACTTCTCGATCTCCCCCATCACCTAAAAGTAAAATAATGTTTGGCATCAAGGGCAAGGCTCTTTTTGCACTCATCGCAAGAACTTACATCGTTCTGCACGAGTACTTGCTTCCAAGTAAAATAAACTGTCGAGCATTGTGATTGGATGCAAGCACTCGCAGCGAGCTTGTGATTCGTTGTTTACGATCAGTGGAAACGACCCTCGAAGTTCATGGTTGTTCGCGAACCATGGATTATGAGCAGAGGTAATTTACTTGAAGGGTATTGACGTATTGTAGATGGAAATTATCGAGTGGAAATTTACATACATTTATTAGACCTAACCAGGAACAGCTGCGAAAAATGTAACTTTATGTCCCTGGCAGGAATCGAACCTGCGGCCCTGCGATTCCGGTGCAGCGCTCCAACCAACTGAGCTACAGAGGCCAGTTGTCGAGCTCTAACCACAAGTTCATGTATGTATACTAGGGTACTGCCAAGTGTAGGCACTCTTACATTCAGAGTCAAAACCTTGACTTGACATGAAATATCTAATCTATTCAGCCATGACTTTTTGGTGTAGCGAAAAGTGTATTAAACTTTATTCCGAACATTAGATTTACATTTCATTTTTACCAATTTTTCAGCTTTCTCCCGACTAAAATAAACAGAAACTATATTTTTATTGAGATAGTCAAGTTTTCGGAAATTTGTATTGAAGATTTCCATTTGAATAGTTTCTTTACGCATGACCATAATGCTTGTACAGACACAATATTTTTGCAATGTGAGAAACAAAACGCGTGTGTAACAAGTTTTCGGTCCGCGGGCCCATTTTTAGGCGGGCCGAGACTACCTCCTGAGGAGGTCTCGACCAGCCTAAAATTTTGGGTACGCGGACCTTTAATTTTGCGTTTTTTACACGACAAAAATCCGGGGTACCGTGCCCAAAAAATGGGTCCGCGTGCCAAAATTTAAGCGTGCCGTGCCCAAAATGACTGTCGTGTAAACGGGGCTGACAAGTTGATTGTGTCACTTTTCAATCCAAGTATGGTTTTCTTTCAAAATTTAACTCTTTTTTGGTCTTACCACAAAACGTAAGTGTGATAGCACATAATTGGCCCGTGTATTGGCTAATGGATAATAAGACTACTCTGTGTAAAGTAAAACCTGTATTTGTCTATGTGAAATATCTATGCCATCTTACCATAAATTAAGCTGTAGTTTGCGTCATCACTGTTCCCTCTTGAGTAGACTCGTGTTGTCGTCTGTCCTACACTATAGCCGTCACCTGCTTTATCATTGACGCTGAAATCTAAAGTTGACACTTCGTGTGGTTTACCAGTTACAACTGACTTTGATTCGGGACTCATTGCGTGGGTGATCTCGTAGGTTGTTCTCTCGATCTTTGGTTTTACATCCAAAGTAACTTCAGTCGTTTGTTTTTCTTTCTTCAACACCTCGATATCCCATTTCAGACTGGCGATCTCCTTCTCCAATGTAACCACTTTAATGCGGAGTGTTTTGATCGATTGCTCGCGTTCTTCGATTGCTTGGTCGTGGAATTCTTTCTCAACACGTAAATCGCGGACCTCCTTTTCTAACCTGACGATATACTCGTGACGGATCACCAGTTCACGGTTGGCTTTTTCAAGCTGCTCTTCTAAAATCATTCTGTCCTTGATCGCTTTTTGCAAGTCGAGTTCCATTGTGTTGATCTTTTGTCGTAAAGCGTACATTTCTTGTGTAACGGTCTCCAAGCCATTGGTGCTTTGTCTGTAGACAGTTTCGATCTCGGTTAGCTTCTCGGTTACAATTCGCAGTTGGTATTGAAGATTTTGCTTTTCTGTGCGGAGTGTTTCCTTCTCGCTCTCGATCTCATCGTATTTCTGTTTCATTTCTAACATTTCTTCAGCCATTCTTGGATCAGCCTTTGTTGCACGTTCTCGGATGACGATCAGTTCTTGTTTCAGTCGTTCAATTTCAATCAGGTATGTTTCCACGCTGTTCTTCTTATTCCCCATATCTCGTTTCAACTGCTCATTTTCCTTCGTCAGGTCGCTCACTTGTTTCTTCAACTTTTCGTTTTGATTTTCACGGTCGGAAAGGTCGCGTCGGTAAATTTCAGTTGTTTGGTGAATCTGGGATATCTGCTTCGAGAAATCTGAATTCTGCTTGTCATTTTCATTTTGAAGATCTTGTACGCGCTTCTGCAAATCATCATTCTCTTGAATGGCGTCGTTCAGCAGGTCTTCCAATTTGACAGAACGGCTTTTAATAGTTACAAACTGGCTTTCGAGGTCGTTTCTGCCATCTTGCGATTGTCTATCTTTGTTGTCGAGTTCGTTAAGTTTCCCCTTGAGACCATCGATTTCATATTCTTGATCTTTGATCTTGTCGACCGCGTCTTCCATGTTGGCTTCCAATTCCGAAACCTTCTTCTCTTTGCCCACGACTTCGTCTTTAAGAGTCTTGATTTTGTCATTGTTCTTTTTCACCGTATCGTCCAGATCTTCGAGTTTCTCGTTCGCACTCTTGACCTCGTACTCCAAAGCAGCAGCTTTCTTGTGAGCATCCAATACTTCCTTCTGCAATTCATTCTCCCGACCTTGGCTTCGTTTTAATGCTTCTTCTAGGTTTTTGAACTTCTGCGTCGACGCTTGGGCATCTTTTTGGTTGTCTGATGTATGCGTAATGTGAATATCGTATTGTGCTTGAACCTTGACCAGTTGAATTTGCACGTCTTCATAGTCTTGTTTAAGGGAGGCATTTTCTACCTTGAGACGTTGGTTTTCTTCTTCAAGGTCAGCGAGTTTCTCCATCGCGTCCTCGAGGTCACGCCTCAGTTTGGCACGTTCTGCGTTTGATTCTTGTTTTTCTCTATTGAGATCAGAAACATTTCGCTGCAAGTTAAGGATCTTTTCGTCCATGTTCGCCTTTTCGTCGTTCAAGTTGTCATAGGCATCTTGCAGGTTATCGAGCTTCTTTTTCAAGTCCGTAGCTTCATTCTGCAGACGGTCTTTTTCTGGACGGAGGAAATCTAACTCCGCTGAATCTGGTTCGCTGAACAACCCCATGTCAGGGGATGACTCCACCATAACTTCTTGTTGTGGCTGTTGTTGCATGTTGTCCATCATTTCTTGAATCTGGACATTGGCTGCAGTTAGGTCACGCTTCAGCTTCTCATTCTCGTCTTGCAGCATATCATTGTTCTGTTGAAGTTCAGCCAGTTGCATCTTCAGCTTCTGGAGTTGGTTTTGGATATCTCTCTTTTCAGTTTGAAGTCTCACGTTATCTTGTTTGACGTCATTAAGCTGCCTTCGCAGTACTTGGTTATCACCAGTCAGTTGTTTGTTGTCGGTTTCCAACCTGTTGATGGTGTATTTCATTTCGGCTACGTCTCGCGAACTGACATCTGTCGAGGATTGCAAGTCCAAAAGTTTTTTCTGAAGTCTGGCGTTTTCGTTCTTCAGGTTCTCGTTCCTGACTTTGTAATCACCCATTATGCCCTTCAGTTGTGCAACTTGCTTGATCTCAGCTTGCAAGTCCTCTTCAAGATCAAGAATTTTAGCTTTGGCTGCTTGGAGATTGCGTTGTAATTCATTCTTTGCTTTCGAGATGTTTTGATTGGCCGTTTCCAGGTTCGCTGCTTTTTTCTCTGCGTCAAGGAGATCCCTCTGTTTCTTGTCAATGATGTCTTGGCATCCTTCAAGGGAGCTTTCAAGTTGTGCAATTTTTTGGTTCGCTTCGATCAAATCGTCGTTCAATTCTTTCACTTTACCATCGTATGCAGCATTGTAAGCTTCCAATCTTCTATTCTTGTTCTTTGCTGTGCTTAGGTCTTGCTCCAGTTTTGCAATCTTTTTCTGCCATGCAAGAATATCTTCTCTGCCAACCTTGCTGCTGTTTTGCAAGTCATTTAGCTGATTCTCAAGATCTGCAATGCGCTTGGTCTTCCATTGGTTATCATATTCGATGCCATCTTTTTGTCGGTTAAGGTCAGAAACAGTCGTTTCCAATTTCATGTTTTTCTTGCGGAGGTTGGCCAAGTTGCGTTGCGCGTCATCATGATCTCGTTTGACGTTGTCGAAACTATTCTGTAACTCGTAGATCTTGGTTGATTTTTCCTTTCCGGAATCAACTTGATCGGGTGGAGCGGAATGCTGTACGTTCTCGGTCTCACGCTTAATTACATTCATATCGTTAGCCATCTTGCTCTTTTCGTTGTGGACTGTATCCAGCTGAATTTTCAATTCCGAGTTATTCTTCTTCATTTTATCCAGAAGGGCTTTCAAACGATCTCTTTCTTCTTCAGTGGCTTCCAGGCGCGATTGCAATGTAGCAACCTGTTGATTGAGACCAAGAATTTCTAGTTGTAATCTTTCAATTTCCTTTCGGGCGTCGGAGTAAGATTTTCTGTAATCATCAGCTGAAGCCTTTGCAACTGCCAGCTCATTCTTAAGCCTCTTGTTTTCTTGCTCAAGTGCTTTCAATTTGAATTGAATATCAGTAATGGTGTTGTCTCTCTCTTGAAGCTTGCTTTGCAAAACTGTCATGTCTTGTTGTGCTTTCTCATAATCTTCCCGGTAGGAGTGCAGTCGTACTTTCAAGGAACTAATTTCGTCTTCGTACGCGTGAACCTGATTTCGTAGCCAGTCAACATCGTTTTCTTTATCTCCAAGATCCTTTCTGTAGGCGTCGACGTTCGATCTATGTTCGGTGACTTGTCTTTCCAAGTTAGCATGAGTTTCTTTGTTGCGGAAGAGCTGCGCCTTCGCCTCATCTAGTTCCCCTCGTAACATCGCTTTTTCTTTCAGTGCCTTCTGCAGTTCGTTTTGAAGATCAGCTTGTTTACGTTGTGCAGCAATGATATCATCATTCAATTCATTGTTTTCTTGCATCAAGGTTTTCATCCTCAGGTCGACATCTGAGAACTGTTTCTGCATATTGAACAATTGCTTCTCGAGATCGTCGCGTTTCCTCTGAACGTTGCCAAGGTTGGCTTGCATAAGATTGAGGTCTTCACGAAGAAGATGAACTTGCTTCTCTAGTTCTTTCTTTTCTTCTTTAAGGGTTTCGATTATCTTGTCTTTGTCCTTATTATTCTCTCCCTGCTCCAGTTGTAACTGTAGTTCTTGAAGTTTACGTTCAGTATTCAAGAGATTCTGTTCGTTATTTCTGTCTTTCATAATAACATCTTCGTGCTGTTTCTCCAGTTGATTCTTTGCTTGCTGTGCTTGTTCGAGTTGCATTCGGAGGCTGGCGTTTTCTCGCTTGAGGTTAGAGTATTGCCCAGCAAGGGTCTGAAGTTCTTCTTTCGTCGAATTGAAATCATCTTTGAGAGGTTTTAATTCATGCTGAGCATCGTAAAGCTCCTGCTCGATCTCTTTCTTCCTGGCGAGGAGTTGCTCGTAGATGGCTTCCATCTTGACGATGTAAGCGTTGAGTTCCAGGAACTTACTTTGCGCTTCCCTTTCTTTGTCTTGGCTTTGGCCGAGGTCACTTTCTAACTCGTCTATCTTCCTCTTCAGAATGCTTGAATCTTCGGCTGGGTCCATTCCATCCCACATGTCTGGAGGAGCACTTTCAACATTTTGCACATTTGATACGCTGATCATATTCTCGTTCTGGCGGTTCGTCTCAACAGCATCATCGAAATCTGCGTTCAGCTTCTTCAGCTGTTTCTTCAACTCTTCGTTTTCCTTCTCAACGATAATCTTGGTTTCGGTTAAATTCTCGATTTGACGTTCTTTCTCCTCATTGTCGGCCTTTAAGCGATCGAATTCTGCTTGCAATTGTGCAAGTTCCTTTTCGCACTTATTGCATTCATCACGATGCCGTCCAGCAGTGGCCTTCAATTCTTCGATTTTCTGGTACAGGTTTTCTTTGTCCCTTGTTAGCTCTTCTATTTGTTGCTCTAAACCAGCGATTTTGGCAAGGCATTCTTTCACGTCTTTCTGTGCACGATCTTTGTCAGTAAGGGCTTTCTGTAGTCTGGTCTCCAAATCTGATAGCTGAGAAAGGTAGAAACTTACATTAGTAAGATGTTCAACTATTTATATTCAGTAATCAAACGACCATTTTCTGCATTTTAAACAGAGAAATATATCGTTTAGCAACAGCTTGCTAACTGAAAATTATTAACTTACACAATCTATTCAAACGATTTCTTCTCAACCTTAACAGACACGGGTGTGCAAGACATTTAAGCAATGCTTACACTGCAAGCCCTGATTGGATGATTAAACTAGTGAAACCTAGCCAGGGCCAAGCCACAGAATAAAGACATACAGAAGGTCGACTCGAGTAACCGCTACCACGCCATGATTCATCATCAAAATGAGAAGCATTACCCCCTGGACGTCTGCCATTTTGAATATTTTCAGGGGGGTGAATGCCTCTCAAACGCGCACTGACTAGGCCCAAGGCGTCTGTATTTTGATGACGAATTACGGTTACGCCAAATTCATTGGGGGAATCGTTGGAAAAAACCCAAGAAAGAAGTCGGGCTTCTGTGTGTCTATTCTGTGGCCAAGCTTTTGCTTGTAGTGTAAACATGGATTGGGCCCATTTTTTGTGGTTATAAACTCATTGTTTCGAAGGTGTATTAATAATTAATGCATTGAATAACAAGGATTTGAAGATATAAAATATTGTCAATGTTAGTCTAAAGTTTCAACAGTTTTATTTCTTACCTTTTCCTTAAGATCCAGTATTTCCTGCTGTAGACGACCTTGGTCCGATTTCAGTCTATTATTATCTTCTTGCAACTGGTTCATTGTTGCTTTTGTCGTATCCAAATGTTTTTCCAAACTCTTCTTGTCTTTCAGTAAGCCCTGCACCTCGTCTTCTCTCTCTTGCAAATCTTTCTGGGCAACATCGTAGAGCATCTTCGTTTCAACCACTTTTTGTTCTGCTTTCAAGAGGTCAGCACGTTGAGTCGCAATTCGTTTATTCGCATCATCCAACTGCTGTTGAAGAGCATTCTTTTCCCTGGTCTCATACTCGTTCTTCACCTCAAGGTCGGAGATCTTGTCAGAAGCATCGTTCAGATCTTGTTTGAGTTTCTGACAATCAGTGTTGCTCTTGACCAGACGATTCTGCAAGTCGTCTACACGTTTTTGGAGCATTCTGTTTTCTTGGGTTAGTTCGATAATCTTTTGTTGAGCTTTCTTGTAATCCCCTTCAAGTTTTCCAAACCGATTCTTATTGACTTGGATCTCGGATCGTAAGCTGTTCTCACGCTCTGGCGTTCCGCCTGGAGGAGCACTTTCAACATTAGATACACGTTGCACTGTGATACCGGAACTCACTGGAACTGCTTCTTTCTTCATATTATTGATATTTATTTCCATCGAGTTGATCTTTAAGCTCTTCTCGCGTATTTGATCCTCATACTTTCGAATTATATCTTGGGCTTTTTGGTAGGCAACGCGAAGTGATTCCAGCTCTTTTCTCGTTTTCAGGAGATCTGACTCTAACTGCGCTTTGTTCTTCCTCAACTTTTCGATTAACGCATCTTTAGTTTTGATATCTTTTTCAAACTGTTCGTTCTGTCGTTCTAGTGCGCGTACACGGTTCTGTAGGCGAACGATGTCTTCTCGGTCTTTCTTGGCGTTGTTCTGGGCATTTGTAAGTTCATTCTTGTAGTAGTCACGATCTTTGCGAGCATTTTCTAACTGTGATTGAGCCGTTGTAAGCTGGTAGGTTTTTGTATTTACTTGATTTTCAAGGTTATCTTGAATTTCACGAAGTTTTTGAACTTCCTTATTCAAATCCTGGATGCGTTCTTGCATTTGTTGAATACGTCTGTCGTCTTCTTCCTTCTCGGCTGTCAACGCGTCGTTAGTTGCCTTGAGATTCGCCAATTCACGTTTCAGCTCATCTAATTCGTTCTCTAATGCTTTCACATTACGATTTACTTCAGCAAGGTTCTTTTCCTTCTTTTCTAGCAAGATACTCAAGGTGTCATTTTTCTTCGTCTGTTCCGCCAATTGGCTTTCAAGATTCATGATGTCTTCTTTACATTTCGTAAGGTTGGCGTTGGAATCATCAAGTTGGCGCTGCAGCTTGGCTTTCTGCTTTTGCAAGGAGTCGAGTTGCGATTCTAGTTTGGGGATTCGTCCCCGGACGTCATTAAGATCTTCCTCGGCTTTCTCGCGAAGATGGTTAGCGGTATCCGCTTCCTTCTCGAGATCGTCAGCTTTTGCTTCTGCTAACGTTGCTCGCTCAGTTTCAACAGCCTTATCAGCAGTCAGCTGATCGTTCTCGTCTTGTAATTTGTTGATCTTCTCTTGTGCTTGTTGCAGGTCTTCCTGAAGATCATGGACGTCGCGTTTTGTGCTGTTACATTCATTCTGTAGTTGCGTTACCTTCGTTTTCAAGTTGTCCACTTCGTTCTGTAAGTCTTTGTTTCTTGCCATTTCGTCATCCAGGTCTTGTTGCGACGGACCAGCGAAGAAGTCATCACCCATACTGGATTCAACCACGTCGGACGTTTGAACAGTGATCGCTTGTTCGATATCGATCTGTTCTTTCTGTTTGATGACATTGTTCAGGTTGTCAACTTCGTCATCACGATCTTTCAGCCGATGTATTAACTTGTTTCGTTCGTCTTCGGTTGTTTCATATGAATTCTTGAAATGATCCAGATCGCCTTTGACGTTGTCTAGTTCGTTCTCTTGTTGCACGGTCTTTTCACGGAGCATTGTAACCAAGTTGTCGTTATCGTTCAGCTTATTTTTGTGATCATCAAGTGAGGATTGCACGTCGTTCAGTTGGTTCTTTAGGATTACTGCCTCGTCGTTAACCTTTTTGTGATTTGTTTGTAAATCATTAATGCGAACTTGAAGTTCGTTCTTCTCTTTTGTTACTCCATCCAAATCGCGTTCAAGTTTTCCCAACTTCTGCTTCAGGACGGTCACTTGGTTCTTGTAGTCATTCGTCTCGCGCTGGCTGATGTTCAGTGCGGTTTGAAGCTCCGAAATTTTCTTTAGGAGGTCTTGAACTTCCTTGGCAAGATCATCTCGCTCCTTCTGCAGTAGGTTGTACTCGACTTGTAATTCCTTGTATTTTCGCTCGGCTTCCAAAGCTTTATCCTGTAGATCTTCGTTTTCTTTCCCGAGGACTTCACATTTCGACTGCAGGTCGCTTACTTCTTGATACAACGGATCTAGTTTAGCTTGTAAGGCTGCGATACGCTTCTTCAACTCAGCAATGATGTTGTTTTTACTCTCCAGTTGATTCTTATGCCATTGCAAGTTTTTATTTGCTTCGTTGTAAGTTGTTTTCAGGACAGTGTAGTCGTTTGTTAATTTGGCGTTCTTTGTTTTCTGGTCAGCCAAATCACTTTCAAGTTGAGTCTTTTGTCGTTGTGCGTTATCCAGTTGAGATTGCAATTTGCTAATCTGCATTCGTGCCTTGGAAACCTCGCTATCCAGCTCGTCTCTTTCGTCTTGCACTTTTTGAAGCTGTTGTTTCAACTCAGCGATCTTTTTCTCGCTGTTTGCAAGACGTTGCTTGTAGTCATCCCGATCTTTTATTGCTCCTTGACACGTCGTCTCTAGCTGATCAACTTGCTCCTTGGCAACGGCGAGGTTGGCTTGGGCGTCATCCAGGTCAGCTTTCGTTTTGTTGAAGTTATCTTCCAATTTCTTGTACTTGCTGTTCATCGACAAAAGATTTCCCTCTGCTTCTGTAACACGCGCCTTCAACTTGGGAATTTGACCTTCCAGAACTTTGATGCGATCTTGCGCTTTCCTGTTCGCGTCTTCAAGATTTGCCAACTTGTTCGCTGTGATGTTAAGGTCTTTCTGAAGACCGTCCTTCTCCTGTCGGGTTTTGCCCAGCGCACCTTCCAAGTCGTCAAGGTTGTTCTCAGCTTTCTGCAGGTCACGTTCAAGTCCGTCACGATCTTTTGCCAAAACTTGGTTTGCCATTTCAGCCTGAGCAAGGTCTTTTTTCAGCTTCTCGATCTTGTTATCCAACTCATCGTTGTCCGCTTCGAGCCGATCGATCTGAGAAGCCTTTGCTCCGACCTCCTCTTTCAGCGAATCGGCGAGCTTCTGCTTATCGAGTACCTCCTTCTGCAACTGAGCGTTGTTCTCTTTGCTCCTCTTCAACTGATCTTTGAGATCATCCAACTGTTGTTTCAAACCGTCTCTTTGTTTTTGCAGACTTTGCAGTTGTGATTCGTACTTGGAAATTTGCACCTGGCTCGACTTCTCTTGCTTCTGAAGATCTCTCTTCGCCTTGTCGTAGTCGCCTTGAAGTTGATTAACACGATTTTGCATATCATCCAAATCTTTCAACAATCCTTCTTTCTCCTTGTTAGCCAATTCGGCGTTGGCTTGCCAGTCGGACAATTGATTGTTAAGACTATCCAGATCACCATCCATTGACGACTCGACGTTATCTGATGTGCTGACTGTGATCATATCTTTCGAAGCGAGCTCCATGCGCAAGCGGTCGATTTCTCTTTGTAATGCGTTCTTATCGGACTTGAGTTTGTCGATGACGCCATTCTTATTCTTGAGGTCTTTTTGTAAACCATCGTTTTCGAATTGCTTTTCAGTAAGATTTCTCTGAGATCTAACAAGGTCATCTTGGAATCGCTTTGCATCTCCTCTCGCAGTTTTCACTTGGTCTTGAAGTGTGTTCTTCTGCCGCAACAGATTCTCAATTTCCTGACGAAGTTTGTCTACCTACATAGTTTTAAGAAGTTAAAATGGATTAATGGATACAATAGACATTTGTTATCTACTTGGACCTTTAGAGCCAGCAAACTAACGGATCATCGATTGACATTATTCAGCTCACTCCCTTACATCATCATGTATTACGCTTACTATATTACCTACTTAGACAATAGTAGAAGAGTTTTGTAGATGGAGATTTCGAGTATGAACTTTTTATACATTTTTTAGACCTAATAAGTAGAAGTTGCCACAGCAACTATGCAAATGCAACTATAGACCGTCTGGCAGGAATCGAACCTGCGATTCTGGTGCAGCGCTCTAACCAAACGTTGATGTATATATACTAAGGTGATGCCAATGTAAGGTGTATGGGTAATTATCACATACTTGTACCTTTATCAGGTAGGAAGCAGCGGGACATAAAAACGATATCGTCCCGGATATCGTTTTTTGTCCCGGATATCGTTTTTTGTCCCGCTAAATTTCGCGCCTTGTCAAAACAAAGATGGCCGACTCGAGGTTCGTGTTGGTTGATGTGGACAGTTTATCGAAGAAAACAAGAACGATAATACAAAACGAAAGACTTAAATTGTATATTATTTATATGAATGGTCTATTTATTTTCTAAAATCATATTTGTTCAGTAAATGATGAATTGTTTTGAATTCTAAAATGATCCTATTTTTTCAAAACTGTTTACTTTTGGGTGGCAAACCCTGATAAAGGTACAAGTATATAATAAATAGGTTATCGTACTCGGGACTCGGTGATATCAGTTTTATCGCTCTCGGGACGATATCATCCCTCGAGCGATATCATCCCTCGAGCGATATCATCCCTCGGGACGATATCATCCCTCGAGCGATAAAACTGATATCACCTCATCCCTTATATGATAACCTATATATATCAGGATTTGGGGGCATCTACAGTCGATATCACTGATAGTAGAAGGGTTTTGTAGATGGAAATTTAGAGTACGAATTTTTTATACATTTATTAGACGTACTGTAACCAGGGAGCAAAGACACAGACGTTAATGCAGGTAAGTTTGTTTCAAACATTCATGTATTAATTGTTTGCTTTATAATTGCTTTAAAAACTGATCGTTGCATATCATGAAAAAATAAAGCATACAATGTCAGCATATATTTATTGATTACCCTTTTTTATTATTATATTAAAATTTATAAATTAAGAGGAAAGCAAAGTTATTTGCATGCGAGAATTTGAAATCATTTTATTTCAAACTCGAAGTTTATCGACCGAAAAGGCAGTTCAGTTTAAAGAACATTTTAAAACATTTTTCAAAGCATTTGTGGTTGAATTTTACATTAAATTGAAGCTTATATTACGTATAATAATGTATAATAACACACCTAACATATATATGTTTGGGAAATTGATAATTTTGTAATTAAAAGTGATATTTTTAGGGGGTTTTCAATTTTAAAAATATTCTTAATACAATTATCGTGTTAACATGCCAACTACTTTAAATACTTCTTGTTCAGAAAATCTAATGGTTTGCTCCTATCCTTTCCCAGTTAAACATGTGACGCACATTAACTATTCAAAATGGCCGATTTATACGGGCAAATTAAACTCGCCCCATGTCCTTTCGCTACAGACCGCTCCTCGGACAAATCTAACATGGCCGATTTATTAGGGCGTTTTTGTTTTCAATTTGGACACCAGTCACATGACCATGTACGCATTCTAGGTCTAATATTTCTATGGGGTTACTGCATGTATGTATTTTCCTTTTATTAAATATAAAGTTAATATTTTGGGTTATGTTATTTGCAGCCAAAATCTGGGAGTGGGTCATCTGATTTTATGCCAGTAAAAGAGGGTGGGTCATACATTTTTAGGCCCCTACTTCTGTGAATACTCCGCTCCCCTCCCCCATACTTATTGACCGGTCCCTTAGCCTAGACTATTTATCATTACAACAATTGTGATATTACTTTCCTAACTATGTTTATCCTAACCCACCCTGCCAACTTGCCCTGTGGGAGGAAACCGGAGCGCCCGGTGTCACAGCGGATTTGGACTCCCCGCGGATATGGACCCCCGGTCCATATCCGCTAGCGGATTTGGACCCCTACGGTACACATCCGCTAGCTGATATGTACCCCCTTCCGCGGAATTGGACCCCCTAAAATTCACAAAAAGAAGAAATTTTCGATTTAAGAATTAATTATACGAGTAGTTGTCGACTAATCTATGATGAAATTATAGATAATATATGTATTCTCGAGATCAAAATAACCAGCTTTGCGTAAAAGTCTAACGATATTAATAAAGTAATCCCAAACTGAGAGCATTTGCGAAAGGTTTGCACAACATTTATTAGCTAATAACAATATAATAACAAATTTATTAAACATGCAATGTAACGGTATGTATGATAACTATTGGCATGACTCAACTATCTTAGAATTTGCTTAATGACGAAAACAAGTTATTGAGATGCTAATTCTATAAAAGTTTAGGGTTGAATGGAATGCATCACTTTGTTATGGGTATGTTAAGGCAAAAATAATTTGAAATATATTTTCATTTTCCGTTTTTATTTCATTAGTTAAGCGTCAGAGCGGACAGCAATTCCAAGGAGTAAAATACTTGTGAAGGCTTCATGCGCTTCTCGCACATTCCAAGATCATAGAAATAAACCCATGAGTAGCAGAAAAATTATAAATCATAAACTTTGACGGAATTCTTTAATCTAAACATCTATGATTTGATGGAATTTTCTAATCTAAGAATCTTCGTACGGTTTTTAAAATAAATCAGATGAGATTATGACGATTTAAAACTCTTTCAGTACAATATTCAAAATACAATACGTTGCAATGATAAAATACGCGAGGGGTCCAAATTCGCGATGGGAGTCCAAATGCCCTAGCGAATAAAGACCCCCATAGGTCCATATTCGCTAGCGGATATGGACTCCCCGGTCCATATTCGCTAGCGGATTTGGACCGGGGGGGGGTCCATTTTGAGGGGGGGTCCAAATCTGCTGGGACACCGGAGAGAATCCACGATTTTCGGCAGAGCGTTGACAGACTCTTTTCACACGAGTCTGTAGCGAGAATCGTATACCCACGATCTCAGGGAGAAAAGCCACTTTGCTCTTAAAATAATGGATGCAACTACTTGAAAAATACAAGGAGAACTTCGACGTTTGGAGCGAAGGCCCTTCGTCGGGAAGTTAAGCCCGTTCTCCACTAGGTGAATTTGTTGGCGCAAAGCGACTGTTTCCTTTGTCGGCACCGCTTTATTCTGACGTGACAAGTGATGCCGACAAAGGAAAAAGTCGCCTGCCGCGAACAAATTCGCCTAGTACTTCCAGACGAAGTGCCTTCGCTCGAAACGTCGAAGTTCTTGTATTTTGCAGGTAGTTGCATCTCTATCAATCCGAATGTTCTCTTATTATTGGCACTACCTACACTGGCACAGACCGTTCAAGATTAGTAAAATAATTCATTTTACAACGGCCTATTTTGCATACCGACTCCTCGTAATGAACAACTTGCATGTTAGACTAAATTTTAATCAGAGTAAAGAGAAGGGAATCAAACACAAGAGTTAAAAAGAAAATAATGAAATTAGTAAACAGTGCAAAATTTGGTTGCGAAATGTTGTAAAATACAGAGAATGTAGCCTTGCGAAGTTTGCATTTATTCAGTATATTTGTATTACGTGCGGAAATTGTTACCATTTTCGGCTCAAAAATGGTAACAATTTCCGCACGTAATACAAATATACTGAAAATATCCAAACTTCGCAAGGCAATAGTTTCTACATTTTACAACATTTCGCAACCAATTTTACTTATTTTAATAAGTTCTTTACGGGAATTTACTTTTTTTGCCTAAATCTATTAGATACAAAGAATTTTTAGGAATTATTCGATCTATATATAACCCAATAACCACTTGGAACATGCCCTACATCATATACCCTAGAGCGATTCCTCGATCTTGGAACTGCGACGTGAGCTACTTGTATTTTGTGACGCCATTGATCTGTGATCTGTTCGTATGTTATGCAAGTATCTGGCAATATACGATTAACTAACATGTGCTAGTATATTACTACAGAAGCTATATTGTGCAGTTTTGTAATAAAAATGGCCCCGCTTTCGCTTTTCCTCTGTCCATTAATGTAGTGGCGCCGCCAAGTCTCAAACTATGGCGGGGGTTGGGTTTGGCCGTGAGGGGATTGAGGGGGAAGCCTAATATTTGTGGGGCAAAACCTTTTGAACATAGATTTTATAAACATGTACGTGTATAGGGGGGCAAATTGGGGGAGGAGAGAAAATATTTGGGGGAGGGAAATAAGTAAGACATTTTGTAAGAACGACGAGGTACGTTTTAAATCAACCTATATATATTAATAGATAGCTTAAGATCTACGACGTCGACGTCAGCTAGGACGTCAGGGCTATGGAGAGGACTGGGACTAGGATGTCGTCCTAATGTAGTCCCAGTCCTCTGCTTAGCCCTGACGTCCTAGCTAACGTCGACGTCGTAGATCTTAAGCTATCTAATATAAAACTAGAAAATACATGCATGCAGAAACCCTCGCCTTGCTGACAAAACCATTGTATTTTCCGAACATGAAGTAACTAAAGTAGTTGTCATGGTAACACGATAATTTTTTTAAGAATATTCTTACAAATGAAAAATCCCTTAAAATATCATTTTTAATTACAAAATTATCAATTTCCCAACATATATATGTTAGGTATATTATTATACGCGTAATATTAGCTTCAATTTAAGGTAAAATTCAACCACAAACGCTTCGCAAAAGGTTTTAAAGTGTTCTTTATAAAACTAAACTGCCTTTAATTAAATGGCTTTATCGATAAACTTTGAGTTTGCAATAAAATGATTTCAAATTCTCGCATGCAAATAACTTTGCTTTCTTTTTTATTTAAAAAATACAATATAATAAAAAAGGGAATCAATATTAAAGATACACTGAAATTATATGCTGTCTTGTTTATTTGTTTCATATACACAAAGGCCGTCGGGTTTTAAAGCAATTATAAAATCAATATTTAAAACAAACTTACCTTCGTTAACGTCGGCTCCCTTCTTTTAGCCGATTTTTTCGCCCTTTCTTTGTGAGACAGCTTTTGAAATTTACAAAATCTTGCAAAAATGCGAGCAAAAATGAAATATATTTGCAAAAAATTTATCAATCATCAAATCAAATCAAGAAATGTTTGCTATTTCGCTGTCGTCATGCAGTCATCATAATGCAAACTTTAAATTGGACCAATCAGTGTCCGCTATTCCGGACAGTCCGCCATATTTTTGAGATCAGTGTAGCCCGCGTGCAGGCCCAAGGGAAGAATAGTGGGCCTGCAAGCAACGCCCGGTATTTTGTACTTTCCGCGTTCGCCCACAAACGCGGCGTTCTGATTGGCTGTTTGCTTTTGGATTCTATAATTAGATCAGTGATTCATCACAAAGGCTCTCGATAAGCTTAAAATTCGAAAATTGATCACTTTTTCGATTATAAACAAGAACAGACTGTTTATTGTTTACTTGAAGGAAGAGATGTTTTTGCCGTTATGTATGCCAGTGGGGATTGCTTGTCGTGAAGTGTTGGAATAGCAACATTACTACTGGGGTAAACTGTAGTAACCTTTACTCGAGTTTCATTAATTTCAAACAGACTTGATACGTTATATGTTCCTCAAGAAAATTATCTTTTGGTTGATGTTGACTCGTCCTCATTTGCCTGTTCCGATTTTAGTTGAAAATGAGCACTTGCAAATTTGGCAATTACTTACTGCGTTGCTTGCTTTTTTGGAGTTAAAACGCAGCCATTTACACATTGTTTATGTTCTGAATAAGCAGGGAAAACCCCGCAACATTTTAATGCGAGTTTGTTTGTTAATATTTGGGTGCCTTATTAATATTTGGGTGTAATATCTTCCCTTGGGCCTGCACGCGGGCTAAGATCAGTGAGGATGACCACCCATCGTTGTTCACCCACGCCCGCGATCATTGATGAACTTTAGACTTCGCTAATGCTTTCGTTTCTCCGGGTGTAAATAGCCGGGGGAAATTAGTACCCTCGCACGGCGCTTCGCGCCGTCGGCTCGGGGATTAACTTTACACCAGTTTTCGTCCTCTTAATTACTTAAATATAATACCTCTTGGATCAAACAGGCTATTGTGGCAACCTTCGAGGTAAAAAACCTATATTATTTACTCTATCTATATATGATATCGAGCACTCTTTAGCATTTCGTGAACCAAAACACAGCTCGTATACGTACTGTATATATATATTATATGTTTTTACATGCTTATATATAATTGTGCCGTTATTAGACCGATAACAGGGGGACGTAAAAACGATATCGTTACTGCTATCGTTTTTTGTCACTGATATCGCTTTTTGTCCCGCTATATTTGTCGCTGTCAAACCAAAAGTTCGTGTTTAGAAGAATAAAATGATAATACAAAGAGAAAAACAGAAAGCGACCAGCCGCTATTCACAGATAAGTTATTCTTTGTTTGTGTTCGTTTTTGTTAATTAAGTTCTATCTGTCAAGTCTATTTAATAATTGTTGCATTGGGGCATGCAATGATTATATTTTTAAAATAAATTCTGACCCTGCATGACAATTTCGTCCCTCAAGCGATAAAACTGATATCACCTCACCCCGAGACAAATTGCGATTATTGTCAAATATCAAAACAAATATAATAGAGTGTTTGAGCTTCCGTTTGGATAAAATTTCGATTCTCTTCGAGAAAGGCCTTGTTCGTGATCTGGAATGGCGGCGTAAGTAGCCTACTCGTATTAATTGTTTGTACGCTGTGCGCGCACGTCAATGACAGTTTATCAAAAGTCTCGTCATTCTGTGGCTTGCGGTTTGCAAATTAAGGACTCCAACCCCCCTACTGAGCTTGATGCATTTACGATAAGTGTACGTGGCACAATACTATGCAATAAAACAGAAATAACCTGACAAAATGTCTGTTGAATTCAACGACTATAGCAACAGATTTTCCCTTTTGTGCATAGTGAAGCAACGGTTTGTATTCATTCTGGGATGTCGTTTTTAATTGACTCAAGTGCGATATATTGAATAGTTGATAATCAAACATGGAATAAATTGATTATATAATATATATATATATGTATATAGGCTATATTTTTATATAGTTCATAATTTCCAGTCTTCAATCCGTTCTGACTGTGTAGTTCAGTTGGTAGAGCATCGATCTAGTAATTCGAAGGTCACCGAGTGAACAGTAACACAATATATATAATTTAATATATATATAATTTTATATATATATTTTATAAATAGATATATGCATGTATATAATTTTATAAATAGATGTATTATTTTATACGATTGTTGATTAATGCCTACAGGCTACGCGCTTACAAAGAAAATTAGCCTATCAAAGGCACTTAATACTGGCTTCACAACAAACTTGTAACATGCAAAGATCTCTTTATCATTATGTAATGGTACTTAAACCAAAAGTCTTTCTTTACAATGAAAAATTCCTAACATTTTTTGAAGCCTTCAGTGGATTGTTGCATGTAATTTATTAGGTCTTATTTAGTATCAAACATATGGATTGCACTAAAATCTTGCTGAATCTGTGTGTTATCAAAATGCCAACATGAGCATCATTCCAATTAAGTTCCAGTCATGAAGATACCATGCAGACGTCAAGCAAGGTCTTAGTAAATATATTTTGGCTGTTCTCAGTGACAGGTTTAATTTAATGAGAAAAATCAATCGAAGGAGATGAGAAATGCTGCACTTTTAAGCAGCCCATTTGGAAATTTTGTTTCTGGCTCAGTACTAATTTGCATCTAAATTAAAATTATCGAATTATGTGTAGTTAATTAGCTATAAGCGATAATACTTATAGGGACGGACCATTTGATTTTTCACGGGGGGGAGGGCGATTTTATTTAGGTTTGATATTTTTCCTACGCCTATGGATGCTTCGCGATGATTTATAAAACGAAACATAGCTTTATGATATTCGTGGACACACGTAAGCTTTATTACATAGTCTGTTGTAGTATTAAACGGCTAAAAATCATTACATAAATATACTGTTATTTGCCATGCATGAAATGTCCACTTCATTTTGAACAATTGAAGACATTGACGATTCAACAGCCGAATATTTTACGAGTTTCGAACGTATTTTTCCGCGCCTTGTTCTAGTACTGTTCTATACTGTTTGTAACATTCGATTGTCGAGTCGGGAAAGCTTGAAAAAGCTATATTAAAAAATCCGTCACACGGCTTCGACCCTTGACTGTTTGTCACTCTTAATTTTTTTTTCATTTTGTGTAATTAATTCTGATAGCCCTCCTCCGGATTGCTTCCCATAAAATATCAATATACTCAATAACTGTAAAACTGAATATTTATTTTATGTAGTTAGAGAAATTATATAATCTTACTATTTCATCGATATTGCAATTAAATGATACACATTAGCTTTATACTATTCAGTTTATTATTGAAGGTCCATGCATTATACATATACAATTAGGAGGCTTATAGCGCCATACTGTCGCACCACAGGGTTTCCCAAATACTTCTGCATCAAACTGCCCACTGCCAAACCCAACAACACACTGCATGGTAATTATACATTAAAGATGGACAAGCTGAGGCAATAAATACTTATTGACAGCGCTATACAAGTGGTAAAACCCCAGAACGGCAGAAGTTTCCATGCAATTACACTTTATGGTGTAAGTATTCTCTTTTTGGTACTTTGATGACAGCGAAGTCATTTAGACACTTCGGCAAATTCCATGATTGTGGATGGGTCTGGACAAAGGCCGTTATATTGTACTCGAAATAGATTAAATCATACTATATTGCATCTGCATTTGAGAAACGTATATTTGTATTGTCTAAATGTATTGCACATGAACGTAACTACCTTTAAGACTTCCGACGTTTTTGACACAATTTCTGTCAAACATTCTGATTCATCTATGCGAGTTTGTTCTGGCGACATCGATCTGTTTGCCAATCGTACGCTCTACTGATCTTAAACTTATCAATACCCTACAAACTAAACCTCGAACGCGAGCGAAGTTGACTTTAAAACAAATTTAAAGGCTCAAATATACTTACTATCAACGAAAAAGAGTTTTAGACTTAAACGGTCTTCTTGTAAGGAGCGAATAGTTTCCTCTGAATTTTAAGCGGAAACTTCGGCTTTGTTATATGTTTGTGCATTATGCAAATTACTAATATACTTCGTCCTTTCAAACACGTCTTTAAACCAGGGTAATATTTTATGCGGTGCTTAAGAGTGTACAATGTAGCTTTTTCTAAGATTGTATGATACACTTGTGGAACAACGTGCATGAAAACTTTCAACATTACACAAAATATAGACAACAAAACATTCCATTTTAATTATAGTGCGCGCTATCAAAACTACTGTACAATGTATGAGCATTACCTGAGCGTAGGCAGAAGAGATTTAAATGCCATCAAACAATATGTACACTTAATTTAAAAATTCGTACGTCTTGTTGGTATAAAAGTTATTTAGCTCGCAATTTTCCCACGGACGTATCTAAGATATTAATCCAGGAAAAGTAGGTATTTGTGTGCTTGAAGAACTCAAAAGACTTGAGTCACAAGTCAACGACAGCCGACGACAATAAACGTCTTATAAACATTGTGAGCTTCTATGTATCTTTCAAACGAGAAATCGATCCCGCCCAACTATTCCGCCACCCAACTATTCCGCCACCCAACATCGCCCCCAACTATTCCGCCACCCAACTATTCCGCCACCCAAATGCCATTATACTATAGCGGTGCTAAGCGACAGTTTGCATTATCTTTGTAAATTATCAGAATCAAGTAAAGTTTGAATAATTGTAAAAGCGTATACCTCTCCTCGATGATTTTCCTTCAGGCTGTCGATTTCGAAGCGAAATCTTCTCCAGTACGTTTCAAGGTCGAGGAAAGTTTCCTTCGCATCGTCGATCTGCTGAATACTTAGATCTGTGAAATCTGACCCGACGAATACGGTTTTCCCCGTCTGCCGTCCAGCGTCATTCAAATTTACCGTTGTATCAGCCATACTCACTTCCAAAGTGCACCACACCAAACCACAGCGACAACTAAAGACTGAGATATCAAACGAGTTGTTCGACCTCCTCGCGAAAAAGGTGTGTCGTGGCAAAGTGATCGGCTACGCTTCGTGCACCAAACTCTTATCAGCACACGCTTGGTGCTTTAAATTTTGATATACATATGCATGCTTCCGACCAATCAAATTTCAGCGTCTCACAGGCTAATTACCATGTTATTGTCCTTGTAAAATTACAGTTATGAATCTTGGCTGGAAACTGTGGGAACTAATTTACCTGAAAACCAGTCCAAAACCTGAACATTACTCAAAATTTTACATTTTGTAATACTATGTCTATGAGGCCAAGTGCATCGAAGTCGTTCGTTCAATGATGTTATATGCTAAACTCTTATCGATTACTCCAGAACGGAGTAAAATAATTTTTTAGTTCGCTATGACTAACTATATGCAGAGACGCGAACTGTAAAGTTATGTGCCCCCCTTTGGGAGCTTTTGTTAGCGTTAAAGCGACATATTTCGTCTAGCGTTGTAAAATGATATAAATTCTTCGTAAGCAATTTCTCACCACGGTACTAATATATCGATATAGAATTAAAGACCCCAAGCGACATAGCTGTATCAGAAGTACGATTAAGTGGGTGCAAACAACGTAATTAATAACTCGTTATATCTCATTAGTTTTATGTAAGCGTTATTGTAAGCGATGGGAAATATTCATGCAGGCATGTTGAGCTCTGGGACTTGTCTGTTTTATGTCTATTTTGTGTTATTTCGTTTTCTCCTTTTGTTATTTGTTCTGCTGGGTTGGTTTGTTTGTTCGTGAGCGGAAGATTAATCCACGGGTAAACACGTCATTGTAAATATTTGTCCACATTCATGAGGTTTGACGGCCATGGCAGTTCTGTAAAATCGCTTTGTCTATATCATTGTTTGAATAAGAATTAGGTAGTCACGTATTGATTGCTTTGAGTGATGATGCAAGGGCACCATTAATCATTATATAGGAAGAAATATACCGTAAACGAAATTAGTTAAATTACATAGTATATTAAGGCCTGATTCCACGAGCGCTTTTTGTCGGCGAAATGCGAAACATGTGGACTTCTTCGCTGTACAGTATATTCAGTAACAAATGTCTGCATGACTTTCACAGACACATGTCAGTCTTCAAACCTTATAAGATTTACACAACCAAAAGATTTTGTGTATATATTGTATATACAGGGTGTCCCAAAAACCCCCCCCCCCCCCCCCC